AGTGACATGGGTTTTACTGAGTTAAAAATCAAGGTGTGTGAAAATCAAGGTGTCAGCAGGCCAGCTTAAAATCAAGGTGTGTGAAAATCGAGGTGTCAGCAGGCCGGCGTTCCTTCTGCAGACTCTAGAGGAAGATCTCTTCGCACCTGTTCCAGCTTCTAAAGCTCTTTGCATTCCTTGGCTCATTGCCCCTTCCATCTTCAGAGCCATCATTGGCTAGTTGGGATTTTCTCACCTTGCGTCGCTCTGAGCTCACATCTGCAGCCCTCTTCCACATTTAGGGGTCTTCGTGGTTATACTGGGCCCACCTGGATAATCCAGGATAATGTGCCTATTGTTATCTGTAATTCTGTTTGCAGTCTTTTTTTTAAAAAAATGATCAATTAAATTTAATTTATTATTATTTGACTAGAGAGAGAGAGAAAGGGAAGATAAGAAAGCAAACTGCCAGGTCCGGGACCCGAACCACAGTAGCCATGTGGGAGTCCAGCGCCTTAACCACCATACCACCTGTCAGCCCCTCTGTCTACTATCTTAATTGCCCCTTGCCATGTAACCTAACATATTCACAGACTCCAGTGATTAGACTGTAGACATCTTTGGGGAACATATTCTGCCTACCGCATCCACCCCTCCTCCTGCCCTGGTCTGGAAACTGAGGAAGTAAGAATTAGGAGGAAGAGGTCCCAGGCGGTAGCTGTGGAGTCTGTACCCTCGGCCTGGGGTAGCCCCCAGGTGGCTGTGTGGTGCCCATGCTTGCTCAGTTCTAGGCCACAGCCTCAGCTGTGCTATTTCCTCTAGGTGGCCTTGAATCACCTTCCCTGTATGCTCTGCCACCACCACAGCTGGTCATAACTAACAGATCTCTCCCAATCCCTGCTCTTACCTAAAAGTTGGTCAAATGGTCATCAAATAAAGCAGCATTTGGGACCAGCAGATGGCATAATGGTTATGATGCTGGACTCCTATGTAGTTGACCACGGTTTGAGTCCTGGACCCGTTGGCTTAAAACCCAAGCTGGGGAGAACCAGCAGTTAGTGTAATGGCTATGTCGCTGGACTCCCATGTATGTAGTCGACCGTGGTTTGCATCCCAGACCCGGTGACGTAAAACTTACGCTGGGCGCGTGTGCATGTGTGCCCAAGATCCCAAGAGGAGAATGGAGGAGAAGGGATTGTGGCGTGACCATCCCCCCTGTGGGGTGATTTCTCGCTTTCTGTCTCTATGTCTCTCTCTGTCTGTCTGGCAAGCGCACGCGCCCTATAGCAAAAACCTCTCCAAAAAAAAAAAAAAAAACCCAAGCTGGGCACATGTGCGTGTGTGCCCAAAATCCCAAGAGAAGAAGGAGGAGAAGGGATTGTGGTGTGATCATCCACCCTGGGGGGTGATTTTCCACCTTCCGTCTTTGTCTCTCTGGCAAACACACGTGCCCTGTAACAAAAATTTCTCTCTCTAATAAAAAAAGGCAGTATTTCCCCACTTCAGTACTAGACACTTTGGATCTGATCCTTCTTTGTTTGGGGGATCGGCCTGTGCTTGACGTGATTTTTAACCACATCCCTTGCCTGTACCCACTAATGCCAGCAGTACCCTCCACTCCATCTACAGCAACTCAGAATGTCTCTAGAAGTGGCCAAATGTTCCTTGGGGGGGAATTTTTTTTTGGGGGGGCGGGGGTGATTGAGAACCATTGAAGGTGGTTGCCTAATAATGCCTGTTTTTCCTGTGGTCCCGTGTCCTAGTACCTGTTCACGGTTCACGGCTTAGTAGGTGCTCAACCCACATTGATTGTATGAATCTGTGCTAATTTTCTTAAAGAACGAACCTATACGTACATGTGTATCCCACTGACAGGTGTTATCTAGGGTTAGGGTAGTCAATTCGTAGAGACAAAGAGCAGAAGAGAGGTGGCCCGGGGCTGGAAGGATGGGGAATATGGTACTGCTCAATGAGTGCAGAGTTTCAGTTTGGGAAGATGAAATGGTTCTGAAAATGAATGGAGGTGATGGCTCTACAGCAGTGTGAGTGTATTTAATGCTACCAAATTGTGTACCAAAAGTGGTTAAAATAGTAACTTTTATATTATGCATATTTTACCACTACCAAAGAAGGTGCTTCATTGCAGCCAGGTCTGGGAATCAGTAGAGTGGAGATGGGGCAGGGGAGGGATATGAGCCAGCCGAATTCCAATAGTCCTTGTTGGTCTTGTAGCCTATGAGCTGCGTGATGGGAGCATTGGATTTTGCTGACCTACAGTTTATGCTGATACCTCGAGAGTGGCCGTTCCCTGGGTGGTGCACACACAGATGCCTACAGAGGCCCAGTGGCTGCTTGAGGACCCCAGCTGGGTGGGGACAGGCTCATTTGGAGGCCATATGTCCTGTCCTTGGGGCAGCTGTTGCCCAGTTCCAGCTGGTTCTTGCCATGTGGGATACCTGACTGTGGGACAGAAGTCCAAAATCTGTATTTGTATGTGAAATCTAATGTTTAAATGTTGGCAAATGGTTCAGTAAATGAGCAAGCAAGCAAACAAGCCGCACGAGGGTCAAACAGATCAGCTGTCAGGGCTCTGGTTCCGTCTGCAGCTATTCCAGAAGCTCGCAGGCTTGAACCCCAGCTCAACCCCTTGTTCCTGCTCCTGTTCCTGGACCCCATGTGGCTTCTGAAGTCTGCCACCAGCTTTCTTTTAGATCCTCTGAGAATTTGCTTTCAGTGCACCCAAAAGGGAGCATTATAGATAGAACAGTGAGGGTGAGTCTAGTGTCTGAATTCTGCTCAGGCTGGGTTCTTGGCTCTACCATTTATGGGTTGTGGGCTATAGGTAACTTGGCCAATGTCAAGGCCAACAGAGGGACTCTTCAGTGTGTGCATACATGTGTGTGCACTTGTGTGGGTTGGCCTGGACTGGAGGAGGAGTGAGTGGGGAGTCACCAACTGGTGAATTGTTTGTGCAACCTCAGACGTCTCTTACTTCACCTGTGCCATGGCCCAGGGGTTTCTTCCTCAAAGAGTCATTCCAAGTATTAAATAAAATCATGTTCAGGACAAGAAGATAGCATAGTGGTTAAGGTGCTGGACTCCCACGTAGTTGACTATGGTTCAAGTCCCAGGCCTAGCAACTTAAACTCAGTTGGGCACGTGTGCATGTGTGCCCAAAATCCCAAGAGGAGAATGGGGGAGAAGGGATTGTGGTGTGGCCATCTCCCCTGGGGGGGGGGTGATTTCTCACTTTCTGTCTCTCCCTTTGTCTGTTTGTCTCTGGTGAACTTATGCTCTCTATGGCAACCTCCCATCTCCTCCCTCCAAAAAAAAAAAAAAACAACCCCAGTCAAATGGTACCTGGCTTTTCAACAGGTACCCAGTGCATAGTCACTCCGACTGTTGGCATTGGAGACCTTTGCCATGTCTAGAGGCTTGAGAGGAGAGAGCTGGAACTGGTTAGCTGGGCTGAAGATAGGATGAGCGGAACACAGAGACCTGATGAGCCTGATGTCTTGTCCCCTCCCTCATCAGCTCCTTCTCCTTTCTGGCCACTAGGTTGGGATTCTGGTCCCATCCTTAGAGGCTGTCTATGGCCTCAGCTCTCTGCAGCAGCTCAGATGCCAGTTAGGAACCCCTGGCTACCTTGTAATCACTGCTCTCAGGCCTGTGCTGAAGGCCTTACCATTCCCGGTTCAGTGAGGAGGACTCCAAGAGGGTGGGGTGCCTGCCCAGGCTTGCCTAGACAGCAGGAGAGGGCCACAGGCCTAGCACAAGCTGGTGAAACTGGCTCGGCTGGCCTGGGAGGCTCTAAGCCCTGAGCCAAGTTACATTGTGTGTCCCTGGATTTGTTGGTTGGGAGAAGAGACCTTGTTCTGCCCAGACTCCTCCTGGGTTGGTTAGAAGGTGGAGGGGTTACATACCCACTCAGAGCAGGAAGCAGGTCCGGGGTGCTGTCCGAGGCCCTGCCTGAGATCCTGAATGAAGGTAAAATCCCGAGCTACTGCAGGGCACACAGGCAAGTCACTGACAGATGTTAGCTGAGGGCCATTGTGGGGCAGGGAATGGGTGACTGCATCTCGGTCCCTGGGGGGCCATGGCCCCATGCCTGGGTGGGACCTCCAGGTCCAAGACCCAAACACTGGCTCAGTGACTTTCCGGCCCAGATGTGGCACCCCACCATGGTACACAGCTGAGTATTCTGTCTGTCCACCATCCCTTGGGAAAGGAGTGGTCATTGAGGACACCTGCGTGTGCACCTCACCCAGCTCCACTGTTCACTGCACCTGCCTATTTCCTTGCCCATGCTGGTTACGTGTGTGAGCTCATGACTGTGCCTGTTTGTTCCGTATGTGTGTTGTCTTGCAAAATGCATCCTCTAGGGGTTTATAAGGAAGCAGAAGAAGGGGATACCCTAGACAAGTGAAAATTGAAATTCTTGTCCCACCACATCTGGCATCCAGGTGGGGAAAAGGGCTCTTCCCAGGAAACAAGAGGACAAAATGAGGACAGTGAGGGTGCACGGTTCACTCTCTTGTGGATTCTTTCTGCAAAGATTTCCTGAGCCCAAAGGGAATATTAAATAAGCTGTAACAGGCCTGGCCCTACCATTGGAAGGTTATGGGGACCATACACCAGGCACTGAGTGGAGTTGTACTGCAGTGGGAGATGACAAAGAGGATTGGACACCCGGTGTGGGTGGGGTGCGGGTGTGGGTGTGGGTGGGGTGCAGGGACTCACTGCTGTGATGGGAGGGCCCAGGCAGGTGTCTAGTGCTGGCTTGGGAACAAGTGTGTATGTGTGTGTGTGTGTGTGTGTGTGTGTGTGTGTGTGTGTGTGTGTCTGTCTGTCTGTCTGTCTGTCTGTCTATTTTGGGGTTGGGATGTGTTGGGGTTTGACTGAGAGTCCCCCATTGTCTCCCAGCCCAGAAGCTGGTGGACAGGCTTACTGGGGTGGGGCGTAGACTCTAGGGCCTTGGACAGCGTCAACATTAGCCCAACCTCTCTTCCTCATCTCTGCAGGAGGCGGAGGAAAGCGCAAGGGGAAAAGCAAGAAGTGGAAGGAAATCCTGAAGTTCCCTCACATTAGCCAGTGTGAAGACCTCCGAAGGACCATAGGTAAGCTGTCCTGCCTCAACTGGGTAGGGAGCATGTAGCAGATTAGCTGCAAGCCATCTGCACAGTGAATCAAATAGCAATTAATGAACACAGTATCATAATTCCAGAAGGGAGCTCCAGGCTGTCATCTTTGCTAGTGACATAAAGATACAGCCAGCATTCATGAGTATGTGGTGTGCACTAGGCAGAATTATATCTTCCAGTTACCCTTTGAGGCAGGTGCTATTTTACTGAACCTTTCAGGTGGGGAAACTGAGGCTCAGAGTGATTCCGTAACTGACCCAAAGTTGTACAGCCTGTGATCGGGCAGTGGAGATGGGCAGGCCCACCACCGAGCTCCCCCTCATAGCTTTCCACTCCTCCTTCCTGGAGCCTGTGGATCCTCCCCTGGCACTCATCCCCAGGTTTTGGGAGGTGCGGGTGGGATGAGCATCTGGGCTCCCCTTTTGTCTTCAAGGGACAGTGTCAGTGCTCATGGAGTAGCCACCCTGTTCAGTGGCCCAGCCCAGTCCTCTTTACCCAGCAACCACATGACCAGGCAGCTCCAATAGCAGCAGGAGGCTTGTCTCTTGTGGGGACTGGCCCAGCCCAACATGTCTAGTGCCCCCAGCCTCACTCAGGACATGGCTGTGGTGAGGTGGCCAGGGTGACAGGAGGGCTCCTAGGCCGTGGGCATGATAGGGTCCTCTGTTCCCGCTAGACCTTGGCCCTGCTTCCTGTGTGCCTTGGGGTGGATGTCTCCCCTTCACTGTGTGAAGGCTCCTCATCTGCTCCTGACTACTAGAGTCATAGGCCAGACTCACTTCCTAATTCTCAGCCCCACTGAGGACTGGATACAGCCCGGCTCTGACATCTGGAACTCTGCAGGCCCAACTGTTTTGGGGACTCCTGTCCATTTGAGCTGACATGGATTGTGAGGTCTCTCATAGGTTTGACTTTCCTGGTGGCCTCTCCATGTTGCTAGCCTCTCCATTTTCCAGGCAAGGTAGGCATTACATGCCATTCATGGCTTGCTTGGTCCTGGCCCCTGGGCCACTCAGCCCACCCTCCAGATGCCTCAGTGAGATTGTAAGGGCAGGTGACAACTGTTTGCTCTTTGTGCCCCACAGTGTCCAGAGTAGAGGGGGAACTTGCTTAATCAGTGTTTATGAAATGAAAGGGAGCCACCTGTACCCATTCAGGGCAGAAGTAAGCAGGTGAAGCAAGGCTGAATGCTAAAGGATGGGGGGGATGTCCTCAAGACCCACCTTCCATTCTTAAAACCTCTGTCAGATGGAATCCCCATGGTGTTCCTGGGGCCTAGAGTGGACCTGGCTTACGGGATCAGGGCTGTGGATCTTGGATTCAAATCCCACTTTCTCTACTGGCTATGCATCAAGTTACTTAATCTTGCTGAGACTCAATTTCCCAGCTGTACACTGCGACTCTGAACCCAGTCATTGAGCTGTTGAGTGAGGCAGATGAGACCGTGAGGGCTGAACAGGAGCCCTCCTTTGGAGCCCTGGGACACATTCCCCTTGGCACTCCAGGGTTCTTCCTGGAATTCCCACCAGCCACCACCCTGCCTGGCCCCTCCTATGTGGAAGCCTAGGGTGCCTGTGTTTATCCTCGCTGGTCAACTTTTTGGCTGGAGGTATATGGGGCTGGGAGGAAGAGAAGAGGGGCTCTTCTATGGGTGAGGGGCAGGAAAGTGTAGGAAAGGGTTTGACCACTGAGGCCTTCAGAGAGGGGAGTGCCCCTCAGGTGTCTGGCTATTACCTCCCTGGGAACCATTTTGTTCTTTAAGCTAATTTAGGCTTGGAGAGAGTAGGGCCTGGGGTAGGGCTGGAATGAGGACCTCTGTTTCCATAGTTGCCACACACCCTGAGGGGCCCAGAGAAGTCCATTCTCCTGGAGAGCTGTGTCTTCTTTGCCACCATCTTTATTTAGGGCAGGCAAGTCCTCCCAGCTTTTCCCCAAGAGAGGAATGATCCCTCACTCTGCATTTGCTGCAGACCCAGGGGATACTTTGTTCTCTTCCCTGGGGCCAAAGGGCTGATCCAAGATCCAATACTTTTCTGAAGTATTGATTTGGAGGAAGAAGCTTGGAAAACAAGGACGTTACCTCCAAAGGGGAGTGGGCAGACGAGACCATTAAGGGGTGATTGTGGGAGGCCAAGCTCCCCTGAAGGGGCTGTGCCTGTCCAGTGCCCACTCTCGGGAAGCCATTTGCTAAATTGCCTTCAGGGCTGGTGCCAGGAATGGCTGACAGGACACAGTGAGTCTGAAGGCCACTTCTTCAGGGAAGCCTTCCTCAGCCCCCGAATTTAAGTGAGCTCCTGGCCAGAGTCTCTCAGAGCATCCTGGGAGCACCCACGACCTCGGCCATTGTTTCATGTTTGTTTTCCCCACAAATGGGCAAGTCTCCTCAGGAAGGAGTAGATCTTCTAAATGCACCACCAGGTGGCTGGAGCCTGGATTACAGGAGGGGTGCATAGAGGTCAGCTAGACAACTAAGTGAAGGAAAGGATGAATGAAGAGGAGTGAGTAAAGGATAGGTGAACTCCTGGGGTGTTTCAAATAAATAGAGGAAAGTCAAAAATAACATGCAGAGATTTCAGATGTCTGCCATCCAGAGGAAAGAAATATTACTGTTTTCCTATATTTGATTTATGTATTTCTCAAAATACATGAATATAAGTATAAAACATAAATGTGAAATACAGGACTTTGGGTTCCAGACAAAAGGGAGAAGATGGATTGATCCCTATCCCTCCCACTAAGGGCAATCAAAAACTCTGAACATTGTTATAAAATCTTCTAACAGGAAGATTAGGGAAGGCAGAACCGAGAAGACAGACTGGCCGGGGAACCCAGGACATGAGAAATGACATGACAGCAAGCTCTAGTGTTTTGTTTGTTCGTTTGTTTGTTTTGGCCTCTCTTACATTCCAGAGTGGGTGCTAAGAGAAACTCACAACCAGCAATGCTAAAAGGTACCAACAAAAAAGCCCCCGCTAATCTCAACAACAACAACAAAATAAAAACCAAAGCCAATTTATTTTCTGCAGTCAGAATCCCTGGAAAGGGGCAGCTGAGCTGAAGGGGAGCAGGCTGCTCCAACGCTGTCACATTTCTGCTTACGTTTGGCACCAGCAGCATGGATGCCCACTTTGTCTCTCTTCTCATGAAGCTTTGTCTCAGCTCAGACTCCTATAACGCATTGCTGTAGACAGCACATCTTAAACAACAGAAGTTTATTGCTCACAGTTCTGGAGGCTGGGAATTCCAAGGTCAAGCCACTGGCAGATCTGGTGTCTGGAGAGTGACCACTTCCTGATTCACAGATGGCCATCTTCTCTTTGGGTCCGCATGTTGGGGAGAGAGAAAGAGAGAGCAAGCTAACCATCTGATGTCTCTTCTTGTAAGTGCATTAATTCCACTCAAGAGGGTGGAGTCCTTATGACCAAGTCACCTCCCGAAGGCCCCATGTCCTAATACCATCACACTGGGAGTTAAACTTCTATGTATGAGCTTTGTGGGGGACACAGACATTCAGATCATAGTAACCTAAGGTTCAAAGACCCAGGGCACCTTTCTCTCCACATTCTGCCTTCTCTGGGACTCAGCTTCGAATCCTCTGAGGTAAACTGGCCCAGCCAAAGCTCAGGGCCCCTCCCTGCCCCTTCTAAGTCAAGACTCTCAGGTGCCTTCACTGTAACCCTCCTCCCCATGAGCTTGCAAGCATTTCTCCAGAGGCACTGAAGGTCTCTTACCTTCCAGTCTGTCTGTCCCCACCATGTTCACTTCTGGTTTTGGGACCTGGGAGCATAGGAGTGGGCTCTGAGCTTTTCTTGGACCCCACCCCACAGGCCCCATCCCTGTCTGTTCCTCTAGGTGCATAAACGGGCCTCTTGGCAGGGCCTTCCCCTGGGAGGGTGTGAGAAACGTGCATGACGGGGTGTGGGGAGGGTTCTGCTGTTCTTCTAGCAGGTATTGAAAAGACTCTGTGTCTGTGAGCACAGTGTGAGAAGAGGCTGGGGAAAACAGGAAGGCCGACGTGAGCCGAGGGGCTGCAGCTCGAGGCGACGGGGCCCAGCGCTTGGGCCATTTTGCATGTTTACAGTCCGTCGCCTTGGTGTTTGCCCAGCCTCTGCTGGGGTCCTGCTGGAAGGCTTTCTTAAATAAAAATCTCATTTCTTTTCTAGACTAATACACAAACCAAACAGTGGTGGATACCACATTTATTTTTCTTGTGGACACATGAGCTCACTTTCTGAAGCTTTTTGGGAGGATGTCCCAGGGCAGGCTTCACGCCAAGGTGACAGGGCTCCTTTGAGCCAGAGAGCAACGTGGGGTGGTGCAGTGGGAAGGCTCTCTATCAGAGGGAGTCCATGAGGATCCCAGGGTGCTGCTCCCCTCTCGCTCTCTTTTCTTTTTTTTCCCCTCTATGAGTAAGAGAGACAGAGAGACAGAGATATAGTGGCCCCTTCTGATACTACAGTCCTCCCCTTGCTTTATCCCTCAGCCATTCCTGATCATGGGCATACGTGTTCCTGGCATACTTAAGGAGGGCTCCAGGTGTGAACTGGCAACCTCCCACGTGATCCTGCCTCCTAGAATGCTGTTTTACTTCTACGCCACTGCTCTCCCTCCCGCCAAGCCCCGATTGTCCAGAACACTGGTTTGTTAAAGTCGCAGCCTTCCTGACCTCAGCACTGTCTAGACAACCATAGGCCTCCTCCACCTAGTAGGGGGGGTGATTTTTAAAAACATAATTATTTTATTTAACTTTGTTTGTTTGTTTTTGATTTGACCAGAGATGGACAGAGTGAGAGAGAGAGGGAAAGTGAGAATGCAAACCACCAGGTCTGGGACTCAAATGGTGGTCGGCCATGTGGGAGTCCAGTGTCCTTAACCACTATACCACCTGCCGGCCCCAGGTAGAGTGATTTAAAAATATGAAAACTACACCCTGTGAATTGTTCCCCTCCTGAAGCCACCCCAGCGTTGCTTCATTC